TCGACCGTGAACCTGGAATATCGTCAGTTTTTCGTTTGTTTTTGAATATGTATTTGTATGTACTGGTGGCAATTATGGGTTGTAGAGTCTTGTAGTGCAATAAGTATGGACTATTTACAGCGTTATTTATATATTACTTTTGTTACTTATTTCATGTTCGGTTATCATCATTTTTTTATATGACTTATTTGAAGGTCGCAATCTACCAAACGCTATCGCCAAAATAGGTAGTACTTTTGCCTGTGTTAATTATACATTTAATTTAACAGTAACCACAATAATGATTGAAGTATCAACAAAAAGTATACAAGAAAACAATATTCTGCGCAATACTTCCCGTACAAGCAAAATAGATCATAGTCAAATTCAAACATTTTGTTTCATTTGAAAGATCACGTAATAGGCTATCAATAACTGGTAAAAAGTTGTAGTTGAGTTCAAAATAAGCAAAATTGTTGCCCTACTTATACGGCGCCGCGACCATTAGCATGAAAGAGTAATTTCGATAACTTACGCCAGAAAGTCAAAAAGTAGAAGCATAGGTGAATTCAATCACCTACGATCGAAAACATATGACATCACTAGGTTCACCAATTCTCTGAGCATACAATAGATAAATACGAAAGAGAATAAATAAAAGAAAACTCTCTCGTTTTTATCGTAGCACGGAATGGTAAAAATTAAGAAACCGACATCGGCACGGATAGTGTTATTTTGAAAAACTTACGCTAAACATACGGTAAAGTTAATGTTTTTTGAGATTTAGTCGAAAGTTTTGAGTCATTTCATCGTCATTGAAATTCTGAGATCCCGGACTATTGGATTTATCAATCACGTGGTAAAGCGTAAATTTTCCATATTTTCAAGGGGCAAAATCCAATATGTCTCTGGAACGCGGTATTTAAATGAATTTATATTTATTTTGTCCTAATGTAAGACAAATTTCTACTCCATTGCATTCGCAAAGTACACCAGATATTACGTTATTTTTAATACTTGTATTTCAAAATAGGCAATGACGACCAAATATCAGGTAAGCTTATAGTTATTTCTATCTCTTTTGTCGCAATGGCACAGAATGACAATGAATCTCGAGTTCTGATTCTATACCCACTTCCTAACCCAGGCACCAGGGTGTCATAAAATTGATAGGTAATGCTGAACCTGACGAATTCCACACTTTTGAAGAATATGAGAGTGGGGAATACCCTATCAATGTCAACCATACTCTATCACAGGGCTACTCAACTGGCGGACCGCGGTCCGAATCCGGACCTTTCGACCCCTCAATTTGGACCGCGTCTGCTTGCTTATTGTAGCAGCATAATCATCGTTTTATAGTTGTAAAAAATTTTGATAATATTTAAATGTTTCACTGAACCTTAGACAAAAGAATTGTGACCTCATACCAATATGTTCCTCGAGTATTGGTGCACCTGTTTACTTCCGTAAAATTGGCCAATCAGCAATATAATAATTATCGTCAGGAACGGTGTCGTAACAACTGAATTTTCGGCCGACCAGACTCATGTTCACCCATGCTGACTGTCAGGAAAGGCATAGCCCGTATTCCACGTTTTGCATTCTGATTGTCAGCTTTTAGTTGCGGCTCAGATATAAATCAAATTACGTGATAGTCAGTTTGATTACCATGGGTTCTAGTTTGATTGCAGTAATAAACAATGAACTTTGAACCTAGCCTTTATCCCTATATTTTTACATTGCAACTCGGGTTCTTGAGGTATGGTGCGCCATCTTTATCTCTCGCAGCTACTCTCCTAAACCTGGTGAAAGTCGGTAAAAGTGTTTTCGTATAGCTGTGTTTTATGTATAATTAGTAGTGTATTATGAAAAATTGTATAAGATTAGGAATAAAAATAAAAAAGTCTAACAGGAGTCGAGCTTACATAAATTAGCCTGGTGTTATTTTGAATATTTAATTTTTTAACAGTTTTATAGGTATAGATTCTACAATTTTTGCGTAAAATACGTTAACCTACAAAGGATTAAATGTCATCTTCATCCAAGAAAAGAAAGTTTGATAATGAAAATAGGTTGTTCAAGAATGAATGGGTAGAGCAGTATGCCTTTATTCTTCCCAGAGCAAGCTCAAATCCGCTTTGTCTCATTTGTAGTCAAAGTGTTGCCTTGGTGAAAAGCAGCAATCTAAAGCGTCATTATGAAAGCAAGCATAGTGTATTTAAAGAGGCATATAAACAGGGAACAAAAAAGAGAAAGAAAAAAATAAGTGTTATGAAAGGTCTACAGTGGTATTTGCCAATACCATGACAGCTCAAGAAAAAGCAACCGAGTGCTCCTTGAGAATAGCTTGGATTTTAGGAAAGCATAAGAAGCCTTTTAGTGATACAGAAGTTGTCAAAGAATGCATGATACAGACAGCAGAGACAATGTTTGATGCTAAGCAGAGAGATGAAATAATAAATAAAGTTAAACAGATCCCTTTTTCAGATTCCACGGCAGCGAGGAGAACTGAACTATTGGCAGAAGATCTGTATCCCAACTTGATGAAGGATTGAAAAACGCTGAAAAGAAGATATATATGGAGCCATAAAAAGTATGCTAGAATCGAGAAGTATTGCATTTAAATCAATCATTGCACTGACAACTGATGGAGCCGCAGCAATGATTGGGAGAGGGAAAGGTCTGGTTGGGCGACTACTAAAAGATAATCCGGATTTAATTACTTATCATTGCATTATCCACCAAGCGGTACTATGTGCCAGTTTTGGAGATGAATATCGTGAAGTGATGGACACTATTATACGGCTAGTAAATTTTCTACGATTAACATCTGCACTACAACATCGCCTTCTTCGGTCTTTTCTTTTTGATACTAGTGCAAATTACACAGATATGTTGTTACCTAACAATGTCAGATAGCTGAGCAAAGGAAGAGTTTTGGAGAGATTATGGTCAATTAAAAATGAATTGAAGATTTTTCTTGAAGTTCAAAGCAATATAAAAGCTAGGACATTTCTGACATTTTTAAAAGATTACAAAAAAATAGAAATAGTTGGATTTTTAGGTGACATAATGTCGCAATTAAACGACTTGAATTTAAAACTGCAGGGAGAAAAAAACACTATTTTTGATCTGATTAGTACAATTAACGCATTTCAGAAAAAATTGATAATTTTTAAACATGATATTCAAACACGACTTATTCATTTCCCAAGACTTCCGGAGCATTGCAAAGATAACAGTAATGGCGCTACATATGTTCAGTGCATTGAAAAATGGATAAGCAACTTCGAAAATCGATTTGGCGATTTTTCTTTAGGTAAACCATTGTTGCTCTTTGTTGAAAACTCTTTTCTAATAACAAACATTTCAGAATTCTCGATGGAAGCAAAGGCAACATGTAAATGGGTGGATGCTGCAAAAATCCAACTAGAGCTAATCGAATTCCAGGAAAACTCGGCGGCGAAAGAAGTATTCGGCAGCTGTTCTCGAGAAGAGTTTTGGGTCGAAGGATGGCATGGGATATAAATATCCTGTCCTGCGACAACTGACTGTGCAAATTCTCACTATATTAGGAGAAATTCATAATTTGACTTTATATAATATTTTTAATTTGCAAAGAGTCTTTATGGACATCCGACGTATTGAATTTGCGCTCAACTGTTGTGTTATTGGTAGGGCTGGCAATTTCAGGAAAAACACTTTAACCGTTACCGGAAAAAATTAACCGGTTAACCGCCGCGTGACGTTTGACGTAATAATTTATAATTTCAGCTTGTTACGTCACAATGCTTAGAAAAGAAATTTTGCGTGTTCTTATCCCGGTATCGCTTAGTTTCATGATTGCTCTGCTGCAGGAGACAGGCAGCGTGGTTCGGGCGTGTGAAAGTATTTTAGAAAACCTGATTTCGTTGTTAATAAACGTCATTTATGTGACAAATTATCAGTGTTCGGTGTGCAAATTTTACTTCGAGATATATATCATATAAAGAAAAACGGCATCAACTGCGCACTTGTTGTATGACACTGAATATCCGATTTTGCAATGAAATCGCAAACAATATATTTCGAAATCGACCGAAAACTGATTCTGAATTCATCATTGTCAAATTTCCATAATCAGCAATTTTGGTATTTCCATTATTTTTCACATTTCTTGAGTTCTTACCCACACAGTTAGTAATATTCTTTTGAATTAAATGCTACAAGAGATAAATTTGCGATGACGTAATCATATTTGAAGAAATTGTACGGTATGAAGATGATTTGTACCTGAGATGTCAGTTAACGGTTAAAATAAATCGTAACCGTTAACCACCTGAAAACGGTTAACCGGTTAACCATTCCCAGCCCTAGTTATTGGGCAACTAAATCGAAACATCAGTTGTGTTACGTCATAAAGGAATGAAACAAACAGTCTGATGGAAGTAAAATATATGCTGTTTGCGTTTCACTGTACGCGCCGGTTGAAATCTGCTTTCGTGAATTTTTTTATTTAAAGTATACGGTATGATCTACCTATTAACTTACTCGATATTCCTCTATTTTGAAATAAAAATATGCAAATAGATGTTATTATCTGGTATACTTTGCAAACGCTGTAGACATCTGTCTAAAAATTACGATAAAATACATAGAAATTCTTCTTCTTAAATCTAACCTGCTGGCCTCACCGTGGCGGAGAAGTGAAAACGGGGTCATGCTGTGGCTATGTCGTCTGGGATTAGTATCCCTGAAAGGGTTACCACGGCGAAAAGACTCGACATCGCCAGCTAATGACTGAACCCCGCCAACTATAGCAGGCAATGGTGAAATCCTGCATCCGCGGCAGGATGGATGTGGACTGGCAGCAAAAAACCGTGTTTCAATGGTCCAAAAGTGCCTGTGCCACAAGATGTTGGGCGGAGGAGGTCGACGTGGATCCAACAGCCAAGATTCAGACAGTTCAGTTAGGGAACTAACGCAACCCACTGTAGAAGTGGCGCACACAATGAACTATAAGCTGACTATAGACCAATATGACTATAAACCAAACCAAAAACCCAATCCGCATCGGTCGTCGCGCGGATCACCAAGGACCGCGTTCTGGAGCTTCTGCTCTGGCCCCAGATTTGGAAAAATATGCTACAGAGCACAATAACAACGATAAAAATCGACTAATTCGTAACGAAAAGCAATTGAATATATCAACATACAATGTAAGAACGCTACAATCAGCACACCAGATACCAGAACTTATCGCAACAGCAATCAAATATCATATAGATGTGATAAATGTACAAGAACATCGGCTATTCCACGATGATTCAAACATAAAGCAACATGATTTCGGAAAAGGATGGACATTTATTTCAGTTTCAGCACTTAAAAACACAGTAAACGCAACATCCGGCGGGGTGGGAATCCTGCTGAGCCCACATGCTATGAAATCACTGAAAAGCGTCGAAAAGATAACATCACGTATCATCCATGCAACGTTCGACGGGAATCCTGCACCAAATATAGTATCATGTTATAGCCCAACTAATACAGCTGAAAAGCAAGAATAGTCCGGCCGATAAGGGGCCTTTTTGGGCCCAACCTTGTTTTCAGACATAAAGTTTTTTTTATTTGAGATTATTCATCTTGGGGCTGTTGCCCATCATTTCTACATGGGTGTGGAGTTTGCAGCCTTGAGCATTTTTTTTTTACGGCTTGATATTTGTATTAGTGTTTTTCATCAAATCTGTGCACCATAATGGCGCACAACCTGAAATTAACCTGTTACAATACTATGTTCAGGTTGTTCGCCATCTTGGTGCACAAACTACGGAAGCACCAAATTTAATAGGAAATAAAAATCAATAACGTTTAGGTATATTTTAAACCCAGCTTGGGGTCGCGACCCATATATATGGAAATACTGTTGAAACATACGCGTAAAATAAAGAGTACTATTTCAAAATACCCGCTTATGTTGCAATTAACAATACAAGCCTGCTAATGCAGTCGGCAGTGGTTCAAGTGGATATACACCCGGTGGAGAACAGTCAATTATTTGCCCTCAAGGATTGTTATGCAGCGGGATGATCACGACGATGCAGTGAAAGATAATGCTATCACGAAAACAAGAATGAGAAAATTGCTACATTTTATAGTATATCCCTGGAAAGGAATGTAGTTCATTCTTACGTTCCATGCCAATGCTTTTCAAACTACCAAAGACTTTCAACACTTTTGCTTCTTCTCTTCTATAAAAATACATTGTTGATATATATTCGCATTTTCGTCTGTTTGTTCGTGCTCCAAGATAACCGATCAGTGGCCTCCAAGGAGGCCGGGGACTCCTTTTAGGAAACCCTGTCATAAACTATAAGAGGCTACCGTGATTTTCTTGCTTGTTGTTCATGCTGTCCTTCGAATTCAGCTACAACAAAAAATTCACGAAAACGGGTTTTAGATTTTATGATTTTATTATTATTCTCGACAATATATGATATACATACGGTATTTTATATGTAACTTTGTTTGACAGAGCCCCAAGGCCAAGAGATCTGAATACAAATATCAAAAATGAAAACATGAAAAATGGTAAAATAAAGATCAATTTAGCAATATCTACTTGGGACTTGGTGATATGCATCTGTTGATGATTTTATCTGTTTGTTTCAGAAGTTTAATGACAGAATTAATTGTGGTTGTTGGGGATGTTTCAACAAAAATGGTTGAATGGAAAAAAGGTTTGACAAAATGTCAAGGTTTGAGATTAGTAGAGAAGTGGAAAAAATTGCTCCCATTTGTTCTTCATTTGATAACCACGCCACAGAACTTCTCCGATAAATATACGCAGCGATTGCGAGAGGCAGAAATGCCAAGATGGGATTTCATCGCATTGCAAACCAATATTAGCGATTCTCAGATATATTCGCGCATTCCCATCTGAACAGCGTGGAAAAGATTTTACCTATCTACACACTTGAAAAACTATGTCAGATGAGCGTCATATTGTTGAATATCAGTAAAGGAATAGTGCAATGGGAAAAGACATATAAGGCGTAACTTTAAGTGATATGCATCAAATAATCTTATTGTGGAATATATATTTAAAAACATTTCGTCACGCCAACCGCAGTCCGAAACTTTTTGTCTCTGACTGAGCTTGGATACCAATTGGCACTCATGACTGGTAAGAGGCACACGATGGAGCAGATAATATGAGTATCCATCCCCCAGCTGTCATTTGAGTAGGTACTGCTGTTTTTATTGCAGATGATACTGATTTTTTTTTGTATTAAAGATTTACTGGCATCGGAAATTCCCATTGCCGCCTGTAACACCCACCGCCTTCTTTTCAGCGTATAATGATCATTCTGTTACGTAAAATATTCCATCCATGACAACTACGAGATTCTAAAATATCTTTATATATTAATTTAATATGTCCAACGTAACTCGCGGTTGCTTCTTCTTACGCCAAAAAAAAAAACATTACTATTTGGTCCACGGCGATCTGTGACCTAAAATTACGAGATAAACTGCCTGATGTATTTAATTTTAATACGTATTTTTGCAATCTTGCCAACTCGTTATCGCCGTTAGAAAAATCTCAAATAATTATATAAAATCCTGTTAAGTGTAGAGTATAATTCATTTCATACAATGAATATACATATAAAATTTAGCAGTAAATTAAAAATACATATTCATCGCCGCGATTATGCCACCTCGACTTTTAACAACAAATAATATAACAACGAATATATATTTTTCTGTTGTGCAAAGTGATGAATTCGTGACCGACACGGGCATATTTAAAATGTCTTGCTTTATTAATTTAATTGTCTTCAATTTAACCTGCGGTTGCGTCAACAAAATAAAATCCTCACCACTCTTATATACCATTGCAATCCGCGGTCATAAAAATAAAAACGTGAGGTAAACTGTCCGATTAAATATTGTTTTGATCCGTATTTTGCGAATTCGGCAAATATTTAGATGTACTTGTTAACAGTGACTCCGCTCGATCGAAATGCTGCCACTCTGAATATTTTTAGATAAAACTGTTCGAGAAATCCATAAATATGCTGTAATATCTCAGAGTAAAATTTATTTCATCACAATAAAATTGATTGAATATACTTTAGATTAATTATATTATATACATCCTCACAACCCGGGAAAAAGTCGCGTTTCAAACCTTGATTCGTGTTAACATGAAAATATTCGACGGCAATTTAAAGTAATGGATAATCAGGCAAATCCCGCCCTCAATTAGTGACGATATGTTTCTAAACGCCGACCAAACATGTGTGCCAGAGGCACACGAAATTTTGCGATTTTCACTGCCTAGAAAAGAGTTTTTTAAATTTTCGCCGGCCTCAATAAAACTTATATTGTTTACGGTTTTATTTTCAGTATTCTAAATTGCCGCTTTTCAATCAAAAAGTTGCGTTGTCTTTAGAAACTCGCCGCCGATGAACGTATTTACCAGATTCACAATTCCGTGCGCGTACAAAAATAAAATAAATGTTATCGTGGAACAAATTTGTGGAAAATTTTCGTTTTAGAGTAAATAACACAATCGTAAAGGCGTTTACGGGCCTAAATAACACGTTACGCTGATGAGTGATGAAAACAATCACGCGCAAGTTTCTATCGAGAATGTTTTCATTCAACGGAAACGTCTTGAAAGCGGCGTCGAAAATGTGTGACGTCACACAAATATCCGATATTCTTATGAACGTGAATTCCGATATTCGAATGACGAGATATTCGAATACATTCGAATACTTTATTCGAATTGGCCATCCCTGCCCATGTAGTTATGAAATAATTGTTTTTAACGAAAAGGTGCTCCCGAAGTATTCGTACCAAGATGGCGCACAACCTGAACATTGCATGTGTACCAGGTTATGATTCATGTTGTGCGTCATCTTGGTACGAATACTTGAAATCCCTTTAAAAAAAATTGCTCAACAATATGTACTCCACGCCCACCTGGGTATCATTATTTATGTCATCGACATTATATCTAAACAATAAAAAAAACTTTATGTTCCAAAACAATGTTGAAGCCCGATTCTGCCGGACTAGAAGTGATCGACTTCTATGACGACCTATCATCACTTATCAGGTCAATTCCAAAACCTAACATACTCACTGTATGAGAAGACTTCAACGCACAATTAGGCATGAATCAAGCTCATAGATTCACCTACCACAAACTCTCTAATAGAAATGGAGAATATCTGGAAGCGTTTTTAAAAGAAAACGGACTGATCTGCACCAACACTCAGTATCAAAAGAGAAAAGGAAAGCTATGGACGTTTGCATACGCCAATGGACACAAAGCTCAACTTGACTACATAATCCTCAATAGGGAATGGATGAACAGTGCTAAAAACTGTGAATCTTATCACTCCAGAGGAGGTATCATTTCGGACCACCGTATGGTCACACTAAAGATCAAACTCAGCCTCCGAGCAAACAAAGAAAACTCAGCAGCAATCAGCAACTACAACTGGGAAATACTACAAACTAATGGCTAACTACAGAAACAATATAATGCGACAGTGAGAAATCGATATGAAATACTTCAAACGAACGATATTAACAATAAAAACGTAGAATACGCATATACAAATTTCATCAAGGCCCATAGGGAAGCTTTAGAATTATTGATCCCTAGGAAAGTAAAAGTAAAACGTAAATTGCCTTGGGAAAATGAAATAATACAGAACAAAAGAAAAAAAACTAAGCAGGCTTGCACAAATAAAAAACATCACTTCTACCAGAAACAACATCAAAAGGCATAATGATAATCAGAAAGATCTTGAAGCTACATACCTCAAGGAGCAGCAGAACTACCTTCAGTCCCAAATAGACCAGATCATCAATGCCACAGAAAGCAACTAGTCATCACTTGCATGGAAACCTGTCAATGAAATTACTGGTAGGAAAAGAGTTACTAAAGCTAAAATCAAAGCCAATAGCAAAGAAGACCGTTTAAAAAAATTGAAGTCTCATTTCGAAAATCTACTAGGTAAAGAGCCCCTAGTAGATGATAACCCTTTCCAAAACATCATCAGGAATGAATTAGCAGTAAAGACAGGCCCATTCAATGAAAACGAATTGAAACTCGTCCTGAGGAAACTAAGAAATAAAAAAGCAAGCGGTCTAGACGGAATCCCACCCGAAGTATGAAAAACGGGCGGTTTTAACGATCTCCTGCTATATTACTGTAACGAAGTGTACAAGGGCAACATGATGCAGTCATGGGCTGAAAGCTGCATACTTCCATTTCCGAAAAAAAGGAGACCTAAGTCAAACAAGTAACTATAGGGGTATCTCACTAACGCCGATTGCTGCAAAGCAGGCCTGCACAACATACGGCCCGCGGGCCGCATACGGCCCGCTAGATACTTCTCTGCGGCCCGCGGGGGATTTGGAAACACGCCACTGCTCGGGTCTAACAATCAAAGGCGGCATTGTTACGCAAGCGCGCCGCTACTTCGATCATAATCGAAATCGTGAGATTTATGTTTTGCACTGGTTTCAATAAATATCGAACTTTGTGTGAAATTGGTGTGCCCTTCGCGTCCTCTAAAATTCGTCGCTCGACCTCTCGCCCCTCAGTTTGGAAAACCCTGATTTAGATATCTCAGTATTCAGACTGAATCACGCTTAAAACAATATCGGTATACAATCTTACACCCATTAGTGCATATTAGCAAACTATTAATAACCCCATTATTAACTATTGCTACTAAACGGATTGTTTGTCTAGCCTACAATGGAAATATCCAATAATGGTAGATATGACTAAATGAATTGTCATACGTATATTTGGAACGATTTTACCACACTGAACCTGAGTAAAATATTTTCCTGCAGTCAGTTTATACTGCAACACGCAATACCTAATTCTGATAAAAAAGAAATATTAAAAATGAAGGGTGGGTTTTCAAAGTAGATGAACCACTAAATACCTATTTGCCATCTCACATGCAAAAATACTGTACCTTGTTTTCACTCAAGAAATTAAGATTCTTCATATTTTTAAGCTCCACAGTAATGGAAGTGTTTCATTAAATTTAACTGTTTCACAATATTATTTTGGTTTGTAGTTCATCTTGTGAAATATGTATGTAGCAAAATTTGCGGCCCGCCGAGCCTTCAGATGTATGCTTGCGGCCCTCGTGGTAATTTGAGTTGTGCAGGCCTGCTGCAAAGGTTTATAATGGGATTCTACTCAACAGAATACAGCCAGAAATTGAACAGATACTTAGAACTGTGGCGGGACTGGATTGTTCTATTTTTTATTGTTTTACATTTTAGTTATATTTCTTGTCTAGTATTGCATATGCATTGGTGTGTGGAGTCTGATCCATAATTCGGCCTATAGTTAGATCCTGTTACTCGACTCCAACCACCACTGCATATGTGAACGGGCTGCAGTTCGCAGCGTTCGCTCTCTTTGCTTTTGCTGTCGCTGAGTAATGACCGTATTTTGTCGCTCTACTATTCTATCTGCTTTAATCGTGGATTTTACACTATTTTAATAGTCTTTCGTTTGCATCGTGAACTTCGAACCTATTTGTGTGTCCTTGCAGCACACTGGGTCTTCTGAACCAATTATTACTAGACTATATTTGTGGCGAGCACCTACCGGTATCCCGGTTAAGTCGTACTGTTGCAAATTGACGAGCAAGCGCCAGGATTGAAAATTCAGACGATTTTTTGATTAAAAGTTTATGATGTCACACCGAAGAAAGAATTGCGACCAGAAACGAGATGTAATATGGGATAAAATTGCCCAGATGGAAACCAAAAACAAAGAAATTGAAGATAAGAATAAATCACTGGAGGCTGAAAATAAAGAACTTGCTAGACAACTGCAAATAGTCTATGCTAGCGTTGCAAAACTTGAAGAAAGAGATTTTGGCATGAAGGAAATACTCGAACGGGTTGTATGCCGTCTGAAGAGCATTGACGAGGCCATGGCTGAGGGTGAGGTGCCATCATTTATTCCTAAACCTATTTTAAAAACCCCTGAGATGCCCAAGTGTGTTGATAAAAATGGTGAACTTGACCGCCCTGGTAATGAATGTTTGGTAGAAGGTACCGGTACTGTTAAAAAATTGAATTTTGCTGATGAGTGTGTGGTTGACCAGTCTACACCTATGCATGCAAGTGTAAAGGGTAACGTTACTGATTGCAAGGTGGTTCCTTTTGGTATGAATAGTAGTATAAGAATGGATATACAGCCTGATACTTTTAATGGTGATGGTATGTCTTTGGATGATTATTTGTGTCATTTTTCATCTAATACTACCTGTAATAGATGGACTGATCAAATTGCTGGTGTACATTTTGCTGCATGTATGCGTGGGAAGGCTTTGTCCTTGTTGAATGAATTATCTCTTCCCGATACAGTTTGAGTGTTGCAGTGAGTCACTTGAAAAAGCGTTATTACTCAGAGGGTAAGAAATCCTACTTTGCCACTCTGTTTAATATCAGTAAGAAGTTGGCCACTGAGACGCCAACGGAATATGCTACTTCTCTTCGTGCACTTTCAAGGAAGGCTTATCCTTCTTTGGATGTTATTACTCGTGAGAATCTGATTAAGCAGCGTTTCATTTTAGGTTTTCCTGATTTTGAGATGTGTAAGACTTTAACCATCAGGCGGACTCAAGAGTTTGGTTGAATTAATTACTGTGGCTGATGTATGTCATTCTATTGATGCTACGCAGACTGCACCTGGTTGTGATCGTGCCAGTAAGCCCATGGTAGCTGTTGTGAATAATTCTGACTGTGATGATGGTGTGTGTGAATCTGACTTTAGTAAGCTGCGGAATGATATTAAAACCAACTTTTGGATATCGCCGCCGAAACAATCGCGACGACAAAAACAATCAGCGATTATGATAAAATTAACCAGTAAAAAACGCTTTATTCCCGACTTGTCAATGTTTCTAAAATTTTCGACGTTATGGACTCCTGTTGTGTATAAAAAAAATATTCGCTATTCGATATTTGGAAAAATATTCGAATTATTCGATTCGAAAAAGTATTCGATTTTGCCCACCCGTAGTTACAACATCAATAAAACGACATAATTGGTGGCCTATTTATTATTGATCTTAAATGTTAATACAACCAAATACCAAATCACTGCACAAAAATTCATGGTATGATGACAAACAAAAATACTGCAATTTAGCATCATAAAATCACTGATGAATCAAATCGTGAAATTTTACCAGGCCAAACTGTGTGAACAATTATTGTGATTTTGCAGATATTTATATTTTTGCAAAACAACATGAAGGCGTGCGCACGCTGGGACAATTGGGTGAGTTGATGTAAAAATTTCAGAATTTCTTCAGAGTTTACGTAATAGTATCGTTAGGCACTAAGAAATTGTCACATTTACTCGAGGTATTTATAATTAATACACCAATTTTACCAGTTCTAAATTAAAACTACGCTAAATTAACTACGCTACCCCGTAATAACATTACTGAATTTTAAAATTCGCTTTAAAATTTTTACAGGCATTTATCCCAGCATTAAATATTTTACAAAACTTTAAATTTTCTACTTAAATGTTTGATTGATTTTTAATGGAAAATATATATGAAAGCTAAAATTAAAGTCTACATTTCCATGTGACATTAGAATTGACAATTTTAAAACTGTACGCCCAGTGCGAAATCATGCGATCATGAGTGACCAGGCGATAATAAAATGAGTGAATCCGCCACTCAATATTCTTTTGTGTTCGTGATGGACCTTATTATCCATTTTACTCACTATCGGGGATGCACTCGTCTAATCTGTGTTCGATCAAGTGTGTTCAAATGAATTTGGTATTGTAATGAAAAAAAAATATATTGTAATCTATGGGATTTCAGCGCAGATTATGGCATTTCTCTTACAGCCAGGACGGGTAGTTTATCGCTCATGCTTATGTTCACGAACTGCTGTAATATTTTATTTTTGTCGTCGACTGTTTGTCTGTTTCAGAAGTCGTTGTATAGAAATGTTGCAAACTCCCCTTTAAAAATATTCATTTTAAATATAACAAAGAAAGGGTACTCCTGGGATATGCGCACCAAGATGTCGCATAACCTGAACCCTAACCTGGTACACAACCTGAGTTCAGGTTGTCCGCCATCTTGGTGCGTATACTTCAGGAGGTCCAAAGAAAGAACTGTTGTTTGATCTGGGTTTCTGATCAAAGTTTGAATCCATATTGATCAGAATATTTCAATAAAACTTCAGACGTTTAAAAGTCAAAATAATATGTTCTTCTCATTTTCTCAAAACGTTTATTTTTATGAATTTAACTAAAACAGTCCAGTGAAATTCACGCGCGCTATCAGCGACTTTTTGTTCTTTCGAAAATTCCAAGCCGTCGCTGACAGTTGATGATAAGAGATTTACATAATCGTGTAGAGCTCGCTTTATTTGTAGGACTTTTTCATATGAAATGGGAAAAATAATATTTTTAGGCTCGAGTCCGTGTAACCAAGAATGCGAGCACGATATACTGGCCGCCTCAAATCTCTATTGAAGGGGGATTGTACGAAACTCAAATTACCGCGCGTCATGTGGGGTTTTGTCAATGCTTTCGCATAGTCTTACCTGGTGAATTTGGTGTATTAATGAGGCGAGGACAATTCAAATACCGATTGTGGCCATATCCATATAAGTTCCAATGCGGTTACTTACTACATAAAATGACTTTCTATTGGTTTTCGAAATCATAACACACACAAATATTCATGTATTGCAATGACCGACAAATTATCTAGGACTATTGTAAAACAACGGTATGAACATCCATCTGATCCTGGGCAACATATTTCTCCATCTGGACATTTGTCAATACCCCCATTAGTACATTGGCGGTCTAGTTGGGAAGGGACGCAAACACCACTCAGATCATCGGGTTGAGGGCATCTGTCGTCGACGTAGTTTGCTCCTGTTGAACAATATAATTGTGTCGCACTTGTTTTCTCATCACCACACTAGATCAGGTCGCAATTCTGAGAAATGCAAACAAAACATCGAATACTCACGTTTCATACAATCCAGTCCTCCAAATCCGTCTGGGCAACCACGAGCATTGGGCCCTGTTGATGGTTGAAAGCACATTGTATTTTCAGGGCACTCCTCGGCTGATGTGCAGGCTAATAATTAATAGTAAAAAACAAAGTGAAAGGGTAAAACATCAATAAAACAACGTAATATATGGCATGATATTGTGCTTAAATATCAAAATAACCCGATAACATCACAGAGTAAATGGATGATGACTTGCAATATAAATCATTAAAAATTTGGTTGCTTGCCAAGGGAAGAACGCTTGGAACCATCCATAAAACCTAAAATTTTGAAGATTTTGGTCAACCGGAAATGGACAAAATTAAGCAGTTTAATGTACACTTCTAAAAAAAGTCAGTTTGCTTCAAATATTGATAATTACTGGTATTTAGTCAAGTAGAAGCACAGATAAACTTTAGGAGGATTCCTCAGGAAATCAAACGATTATCACAACATATCAAATAAATTTTTATCAATGACACTTGCATTTCAAAACTGAGTGTTTTGAAATTGATTTTGAAGTGATCACTACTATAATACCCTAGGAAACCACAACGTAATTGGATTATTCACAAACACTCTGCACAGTCCAAGATAAAATGGACTCAACAGTTGTACTATCAGATGTTGCAGAGTGTTGTACTCCGACGTGTACCTTGACACTTTAACTCTGAGCGTGTTTTGCAGATTTTCATCAGTGAGGCGCGTTCCGTGTTTGTTCCTGGTGGAGTGAGTCGCGGCGGTGTTGATGGCTACAACAATTAATATAGTGTCATTCCGAGTTCCCATATAAATGTGATTTAAAGGTTAGAATCCCACGCGGGGATAGTTATGTGCGAAGGATGTGCTGGACTCCTCGCCGCCGTTGGGTGTTTCACGTAACCGCTGATCGTTTACGGCTTCCTTCGCTATCAAGTCCAAGCTTCCGAAAACAAATAATTAACTGGCATACGACGTGAAATAGTAACCGGACGATAGTAGGTGGTTCGCCATATGGTTAAGCCGTCTTATCAGCTATCTTCTCACCGGGATAAATATGTAAATCCCATCCTATGCTGAGTTTACGTCAAAAATGTTGATTCACAAAGATAGGTTGAACCAAACAATGGTCTCGTAAAATAGGATTGCTGTATGATTTGAATCGCGAACTTTTCCTGTCTGTACTGCGCTGACCAGTGAGTGGATAGATTGCGTGACAAGATGTGAAATATCTCTTCGCTTTGCCGTCGCTACAATCACCCCACAAATGAGACACACACGCAGACTGTTTACATGGTGGTAAAAATATATCCACCTCCCGATCATCGTGAAAATTGTGGGTTTTTCATCGTTTTTCTGCCATTTTTCTTAGGAATCAATAATTGTATTATTGCTGCTACACAAACCAATGGACAAGATAAAGCGCGGGTTTGTGAAACGTAATATCAGTGTGATGTCATAATTGGAAGAGTGTTAATTGATCCGTAACATTGATGAAAATCAGGTTGATGGTTACAACAATTAATATAGTGTCATTCCCAGTTCCCATATAAATGTGATTTAAACAAGAATAGCAGGTCAAAATTTGATTGATTTAGCTTACCTTTAAGCGCCGTTATTAAGCTTAGTTTGGAACAGACCTGCGGGCGACTCATATGTAGGTCTGGGCATTTTCGAATACCTTGTGATTTCAGAATCGAATCTCGAATACTTGGAAATATATAATTGTGAGCGACTCTTTTATAGTAATTGCTCCTCTTAACAAATGAATTACTAAAGCCATAGAATACATCACTCAGATAGATTACTGAGCGTTCACACACAATAACAAACACGTTTTATCAATAACTCACTACAGGGAATAGTCATATGTTATAATTGCGTTGAAAAATTATGACTTCAATGAACAAAAAATGAGGAATTCGCCTAGATCAGGGGTGGGCAACCCCTGGCACGCGTGCCAAACTTGGCACGCGAGCTCGTTTATTCGACACGCGAGCGAGGCGAAACGAAATCGTTCTCCTTTAAAGACTCTGAATTATCAGATATCAAACTGAGCATTCGTATATTCATTATGATTTGTTAACAATCTATTATTTGAACTCTTTTTGTCCTTTCATGGCATATGGCTACAAACAAATATACTACGACGTAATAAATGAGTGAGCTCTCGAGAAATTTTGTCGAGAAGGCCGCGGCATTCATTTGGCTACATTCTTACGTGATATAGTCCGTCTGTACCACCATTTTTTTCATTTCTGCTTGATTTATGGAGTTGTACGGCTCAATTGGTTACTTGCTAACTTACTGTTATAAATTGATTTCAAAAGCAATATAAGCGATTAGGGAAGGGAATACAAGAGAGAAGTGCAGAAAACGAGCTATTGCGTGATTAGTATGCCATTCTCGAAAGTTCTTCATGTCTTAAAAACTTTGTATCTGCATTAATTTCAATGTTTTCATCTACATATTATGCTTTTGAATCTTTTTTCTCAGTTATGAACCTTATCAAGTCTCGTAACAGGAGTAGCCCGAAAGATGAAATCAGTAGTCCGTGTGTTTCTCGAAAAGTTACAAAATATAAACCCAATGTAAAATCTCTATCAGTGGTAATGCAGCAGCAGGAGTCGCACTGATATAGAATGAGAGTTGCTGTTTTTGTTAAATTGCTTGCAAAGTACTGCCTGGTTGTAAATTGCGTTTTCCTGTGTTTGTTTTATTCTTTTTTGGTGGGCGGGCACGTACACTGTACGCTTTATCACTTTTTTTAAGTTATGCCCGTCTCCCAGGTATCTCTGCATCTGTTTTGTGTGTTTACTTTTTGTATTGTTTATGTCAGAGAACCAAAATAAATGATTGATTGATAGAAAGTAATCAAGTCCATTTGTCGGATTGATATTTTTCCGAATGGTGAATCTGTCTGTACGTGTTTAAAAGGTTTATTGTGTATTTTCGAATGAAAAGTAGCAGATAATTGTTTTTAATTTTGGTCGGCACGCGGAAGAATTTCGTCGTTAAATTTAGCCGATTTTGGCACGCGAGCCGACAAAGGTTGCCCACCCCTGGCCTAGATCATTGGCGAAAAGAAAAAAACAAGATGGCGGCGATTCGAAATTTAGCTTTGGACCGATTCGAATAAGTTACTATTCGATTCGGAATTCCCAGCCCTACCAATAGTGTCTTCACGGGTGACTTGATGCCCGCGGGCAACGCGTTGGTGACCCCTTCTTTAAGCCATAATTTGTTGATAGCGCACAACAATGTTTTGGACATAAGTCTCTTTTGCACTAAATTATTTCTTTTTATCCCTGCCGCGTGTGTGCCGTAAGGCAACATCACCATACTCATCAATTTGCTTAAAACCTAGTAAACACTATTATATGGAGCATTTTATAATATAAATGATAACAACGTGCATATGAGTAGCCAAAACGAACTGTATCAACTATTCTGAGATCTCTTTTTCCACAAGGTATCTTTTTCCTATGGTGCCATTGGTAAAAAGCGATTAGTTCTCAATTTAATTAAAGAGATTGTGTTAAAGAAAGCTGATTACCTAGATAAAAAATTTGATTTCCTTTCATTACATAAACATTTAATATCACATATTGGTTGAAAAAAATTCTCAAATTTTACTGATATAAGTAGACTACATGACTCACAACAGATTTCACTAGGTATGTGCAGTCATGCATAAAGACTCATGTCCAGTATATTTGAAATTTGTTATGGTGTGAATAGGGCTTATATCCACTTTTGTAGACATAAGCAACTTTTGCATAAAAAAACATCGAACCAAGACTTTTGAGACATAATTCCTGTACTTCAGCATAGGAAACTAAGTTAAGGTTATCTTCCAAACTATTCTGCTTTGGCGGTCAAGCCTATGTGCAACCGAAAGAGCATGGTTTAAAACCTCAAAAAATTGGAAAAAGTGAAATCTGAAAAAGTGGACATAAGTCAGTTTTGTTCTACAGCAGCGAATATGAATGTCCTCTTGTCCTCATTCATAGCGGCTGAAAGTTAAAAATGGAATTTTTCTCTACAAGGCTATTACTGTTATTTGTTTCTAAATTTTGTATGGATTCTATGAAAACTGATATACCGTACAAAATTTCGCTGTATTATTTTTATTCATGGGGACACGGATTGGTACTCCAGAAGTATGTAAAACAAGATGGCGGACACCGAAATGCAATATGTGTACCAGATTAGGGTTAGGCCATAATTTCGTGTACAAATACTACGGGGGTCACTTGGCTAGTCCCCGAACTCGTGATAGAACTAAATTGGGGTAAATTGCAATAACATTATAGCCTAACCATGGTACACATACCCGGTGTCCGCCATCTTGGTGCATCTTTTATCCCTGACTGACTGTCTGTTTTGATACTGCAAATTTGTGTGTGACAAATGTGACAGTTATACAGACATTACAGCTCAAAAGAAATTAACAGAATTAAATAAAACAAGAGAGCTATGCTCAAATATATGGGCACGTAGGCCGAAACGAAATATTTTATTATCAATTCACCGAAATAGGGTATCCTGAACAAAAGGATAGGATAGGATTTACATATTTATCCAGGGGGAGAGGAAAGCCGATGAGATGGCTTAATCATATGGCGAACCACGGCCTCTCGTCCGGTTACCATTCCAAGTCAGGTATGCGATTAGTTATATTGTTAGTTTTTTCGGAAGCATGGACTTGGTGGTGGAGGAAGCCGTAACCGACCAGCGGTTACGTGAACCACCATACGGCAGCGAGGAGTCCAGCAACCCTCTCGCACATTATTATCCCCGCATGGGATTCGAACCTGCGAACCCACGCAGAGTAATTAGAGGTGCGGTGGCGAGCGTATTCCTAACGCTTAGCCCGTTGAGCCACACCGCCGCGCTACATGGCTAAATTACAGTGTCTCAGTACCGCACCGTTTTACCGATTCCAAGAAAAGCACCAAGATTAGAAGACATTAGTCATAACAGTTAGTGCAAGCCCCGCTTTTACGAGACAGTTACGAGTTAGTTCAGTGTCACCGCGATGTGTTACGGTACCGGAACTGCCATATCTTTAGAAGTTCCTGCCATGTGACAGCGTGAATTAAAATTGCAAGATGGTCCGACTCACAACTGTATAGTAACACCAGCGATCCGAGTCACTACTGTAATATAACACAATTCAGTCGGTGTGTGTGTCACAAACCACAATGTCCGTATTTGTTTGGTGTATTTTTGTGTTTGAGAGTTACCGCTAGATGTTGATCAAGAATTACAACGTCATCTTCAAACCGTTGCTTTGTGAATTTCTTGTAGGAAACCATTCGAGTAGTAATACTGGTCACGCTTACTTGTTTATTGTTTTAAATGTACTCTGATAGACTTTATAGTTTCGTTGTATAAATTGCGTGATTTAGTTATTTATCGTTATTATTTAAACACCACATATTTTTATGTTGCCATATACTATGATGCTGCCCATTTGATGCATTTGTGCGCCTCCACTGTGTCAATACCCGTAATAGTATTATGAGATTACGATAACCCACGGTATGTGCGAGGGAATATCTCTTTCTGTGGCATATGCTCATTTGAATTTTCGTTACTTCCCACAATTATAGGTTTATTACAAATTCATAGTCAGCATATTAAAGAACAAAATACTCGATGAAAGTATACAAATAAAAACTTATTACAAAAGGGTGCTGACAATCCTTCAAGGTATCGATAGAATGCCATAATTTTAAATTAGGCGCTTTCAAGCTGAAATATATAAACTGCAGTCATCAAAAATATCCAATATTTGTTCATTTTATCATGAGTAATAAATAATAATAAAAAAGAAAAGAAGTAAAGATCGGCGGAAAAACAATATGGATGCGGTCGAATAATACCGAATGAGAAGGTTCTGGTTTAAAATCATTGGTTCTTGTAGAAATTGAAAGAAACTAAAAAAAACTAAAATTAGAGCTCCTGGCACCATTTTCCATCTTCAAGTTCTGAAATTTTGAAAACTAAATTATTTGAGCATAAAAGTATATTTCTTGTAACAACTACAACCACTCTCCCAAAGCATGAATTCTATCAACAGGCTTACATTGATCTGGCAACAGGAAAAATAATATTTTCAGGTCACATTTTCTAATATCAGGCTGGTCAGGGTGAATTCATCAGTGTATTCTGTTTGAGCGTTTTATGGATATGTACATTATGTCAGTATTTGGACGGATTGCCAATGAATCGCGTTACGACTCGGTGGAACGATATGCCGGTCAAGTTACAAGAACAAATTGAAACAGGTACCCATTGATATTTTCCTACCGGCACGTTTTTAGGTTTGCTATCCAACTCGTTTGTGTTTAAAAATTAACGAAGCGTGATTTGCCTGAATGATAAGAGCCCTAGAGAGATAGTAACAATGCTGCCATTTTACCCCATACATGTCGCTGAGATAGATGTATATAAAGAAGTTTCACATGTAAGATTGTTGTTCCAGTCAGAATCTAGTGTATCAGAGCAACATACCCACGGCCACATCTAGCTGACGTGCATTTTTTGCACATTACATTTATGACCCCCACCTGATTACGTCATCCAAAATATCCGTCACTGCAAAGGCACAACGACGTAAAAATCTTTCCAAAGTATAATTGAACCTCTTTGATGACGACGAACAGCGAAAACAATTCACAGGATTATTACGCAGAGCTCAAAATCAATTGAAATTGCTAGCAAAAAAATTAAGTACAATAGACGAAAACGTCACCAGGGCGTAATTATGTAAGAATATTTATTGGTTTTGAAGCTTTTCTGCTTTCTCGTAATTAACTAATCCTTTTCGCTCATAGCAACGATTATAAGCACAATCGAATAGGTTACTCTCAATGGAGCAATATGTGCTAGAAACCTCATATTTTAAATCCAACGTTTGGCAACTGACGGTACCAAACTTTTTACACAAGGCGTTACACGTTTTCGCTAAGAATGAGGCCCTAGACAAGAAAAAATGGAATTATTCACCCAGTCCCACGCATAAAATAACACATTTCAGTACCACACTTTTTTTCAAGCGTTTCAGCTTTTCTCCCAGATCAAGGCCCAGACAATCGGGAACACTTTTTGATATAGCAATGGCTATATAGTACTCGACTTATATACATTCGATACATAACGGTGGGTACGGTACAAATGCTCACCTTCCACGTGGGTATTCTATGTTCTCACTCAGCTTAGGCATCATACAAGCAGAGACGCCGGTACTCTTCAAGTATGTGAACCAAGATGGGGGACACCGGAACGTAGTATGCTTATTGGAGATAGGCCATAATTTTAGGTACAAATACTACGGGAGTCTCTTGGCTAATCCGCGAACTCGGAATATAACTAAAATAAGGAGGATTGGAATAAAATTATGGCCTAACCCTAACCTGGTACACATACTACGTTTCGAAGTTCGTCATCTTGGGTCACATACTCCGGGATTTTCGAGACGCTTTTATTAATTTAAGTATAGCAATAATTGAAATATGTTACCACATATATGAAGACTTCATTGTTTCAAGTACTTTTAGTTGCACAATTCAACATGAAACATTCTTTCAGGTCTTTTAGTACCACAATTCGTCGTGAGACATTTAATTTTTTGCTCAGAACAGAGCCTAGACAAGCAAAAACGGACGATACATCACCAAACAATGTATTTATTAAAATATTCTGTCTGCGATTAAAGAGCGTAAATGAGCCTAAGAAAATATTCATGAACAGTTGAAGTCCATAAAAACAACAAAAAAGCAACTTATCTGAAAGACAAATTAGCAACAAAGCATTCATTAAATGTCAGATAATATATATGAATACTAAATGTTTCATCAATATACATTACAATGTAAACCCTTTACTATATACACAATTTATAAGAGAGGAAATGTGTGACTATTTTTAGCATCAGATCGCACACGTGGGTTATTGATCTCGATTTACTCTTTAGTGCAATCTCGATGAATAGATCACAAAAAAGAAATTCTAAAAAACCTCAGGGGAGTTTTAGGTCATCGTGGGTAACAAACACTTTTGTGTGTGAATGAACCATGCCAATGGATTTAAAAAAAAAAGCCAGAAAAATGGGTAGGTTCAGGTTTATTGTGTACAGGGGCGTGGCCAGTAATTTTCGAATTGGTATTTTGAAATTCCTAATGACCAAGTTTTACCGCAAAAGCTAACAGGTCTGTGTGTGTTTCGAGATTCTTGACTTGTGTGTTTACAAGGTACTTGAGGGTCTAAAAACCGTTTCAAACTGCGAAAGATTTTATTGTGTGATACAGAAAGATAGGGTTACTCCCGAAATATGTGAAACAAGATGCCGGACATCGGAACATAGTATGGGTACCAGGTTAAGCCGTAATTTCAGATACAAATACTACTGGGGTGATTTGGCTAGTCCCCGAACGCGTTATAGAACTGAAATAACAATAAAAAAATTATGTCACAACTCTAACCTGGTACACATACTACGTTGGTTCACATACTTCGGGAGTACCACATTTTAAAGGGTGTGGGGACGACCATCAACCCCCTGGTTTAATATTCTGATTTTCATTTTATAAATCTAAACTGAATTTTCCAGGAAAATAGGAAAATTTGTCAGGTGCTGGGTTTGAGTTTTGGTGTGTTTTTAAATAAATCAGAGTTATTAGCTCGAAATAGTTTTTTTGTTTTAAAATGTTTTCCAGTCCAGTGTGAGTGTTAACAGTCATTCTTATCCCACGACTTGATGACAATCTGCCGTGACATCTCTTCCCAGGTAGGTGTACCTTGCCGTGCACCCATTACAAGCTCGAACCGTACAAGTTGCATACGGATAATTCGGGCACTTAGTATGTTGACATACATCTGGACATCTAAGAATCGGAATCTCTCCGGGACCACATGTTGCACCTGGAATATATTAAATGATAAATTGGGGAATATTATAATATTTACAATAACTAACATCACAGCTTTACAAGTCTTCATGAATAATCTTATCATGGACGTTTGGCCTAATTTGCTACCACTCGGGCCTACCATATCAGAATTCAATGAAGCGCAATGATCCAGAATTATCATTTAATTAACAAGCATTCCCAATGTTACTTCTCAAATGCTCAACTTCAGAAATTAGATGGAGCCAGGATATGGCTCTGTGTTTTTGTGCGGTTACTCGCATGTCAATTAATATTCAGAAATTATCATTCTAAGGATGCTTGTTTATTGAGAACTGTTCAAATTTCGTTCCCCAAAGATGAGCGTTGGAGTCGAAATTAATCGTTTATGGAATTCAGTCTAATGAAATAATTTCCAGCATCATGGCTTTCTATTTGGTACTCCCGACGTAGGGGAATCAAAATGACGGACATCGGAACGAAGTACGTGTACCAGGTTAGAGTTAGGTCATAATTACAAGTACAAATACTACGAGAGTCACTTGACTATTCCCTGAAGTGGTGATAGAACTAAAATTGGGATAAAATTATGGCCTAAGCTCAACTTGGCACACATACGAGTTCGGTTCGCCATCTTGGTTCGCATACTTTGGGAATACCTTCTATTTAATCTATAAAATCTTGTTTAATTGTTAGTACCTGGGTTTACTGGTTGTATTCTTTGGCATGTAACTTGTTTTCCTGTATACATATCAATCCAATATGCCTGGCATCTTCCACACTGAGTCACGCGACATCTAGCATTCGGATGACCTGGGCACACTAATTGTCTTCCATTCATGTCGAAACATTTATCTTTAGAGCAAGGGCTGTATATCTGATAACCTGGGTCGCATTTGCCTGTAACACGAAGAATGTGATAAGTGCATGATTGTTTCGGATTGTTTACAAGTTGAATCTAGTAATTAAAAATGTTGCCTCATCTTGTATTTGTGACTAAATTTCAGTTTCTGGGGTCTCAGGCTACGCAATGGAAATGGAAACTAATTTGGCAGTGAATATTGCGCTACTAACTATTTGGTACCAGAAAAAGCGTATGTTTTAAGCTATGATTGGCGTAGGCCTACTTTTTTTTTTTTTTATCAATGAACAATTGTCGATTAAGATCGTAAAGTTTCTACCAACAGTATATTCCTAGAATCAAGTATACTTACAATATTGCGTAATGATATTTTTAGTGTGCTGATCAATGAAGATGGCGCCGCAACCTCCTATATTTCGTTGACAAATTGCACCGAGGTTCTTAGAACAAACACATTGGTTTGGTGGGCAACGAACTGGTGTCACTGGTAATACTGGATAAATTGGGGCTACTGGATAAATTGGGGCCACTGGATAAATTGGCACTGGTGGTGCTACAGGAATTACAGGAGGTCGTTGTCGGCGTGTGGACAGAAGTAGTGCAATTAATGCGAGGTTTGGCTTCTTTCCTGGTGGTTTTGGATCTGGAACAAAATAGGTTTTCATAAGTTTAATAATTTTGTTCATAAAGTCAAGTATCAACCGTCTATTGAACATAGATAGCTCAGTTTTGCATAACCTACTCGAATTCCCAATTTCTCAGATTGCCAACATTCACATTGCGCCAACGCACCGAAAAGAGAAAACAATATTGCCGTAGCCTTCATGAGCCTTGTTTAGTCTTTTTTTTAAAGTGATGTTTATTAATGTTTCATCCAACTAACTCGAGTGGAGAAATATCGCTAAATTAACTGAATTCTGCGATGCCTTGAATTGCTTACCTGAAAGATCCACACAAGCCGTTCCACAACCTGTAGAACAGCATACTTTATCGTCTTCACAATCGTCAGCTTTCGTACAGGTCGGGGTGGTTTCAAACTCATCACAAGTATCTCCAGGAACTTCGGGAAATGGACATTCCGCATCAAAACCGGCAAATGCTGGATGGTTAATAAATAATTCTTAGTATTTTTGACGCCTAGTTCACTAATGAATGAGCAACATTTCTACCTGTTGAGCGGAATACGGAGAGATACCGAATAATATTGAAACGGGCCGACCTTTTTTCGAAAAAGGCATTTGCTGTTTATTTGTATCATTTATAACTTCAAACGAAATTATACTTTTCAATTCAGGTTATCGAAATTACTGTTGTTTTCCATGGAGAATCAATCGGTTTTACAAGAAAATGTTGTTATCTATTGCTAACAATTCTGCTGTTAATTTTTTCGGCTATAATATATCAGTCTGGGTTATGAATTACGATACATTAATTATTCAGCTGTGGCCAGTCTGGTTTGAAGAAAACGCAAAAATATTATGAAAATGATTTTGTATTCAATAAAGTATGAAAACTTACGTGTGGCGCACATGGTTCCGCTATATCCAAAAGGACATCGACAGTTGAAACCTGTGGTAGAATCGTCATCAACGCAGATTTTGTTCTGGTCGGTGCATGTTTTACGATCAACGGGGTTTTCACAGCCTGCATAATAACATTATTTCATCACATTTGGCACTAACTTTTTAGTATCAAGATGAAATGGGGAAATTATCTTAACTCAATCTTACACTACGGAAAGTTATATTAAAAATGAGCGAGAAATTCTGCTTATATGCAGCTCTCACTCGGTTTCACACATACTGGTATATTAGACTTAGAGTACTGTGCAGAATTGGTAAATTTTATTGATTATTTAAATCTTAAGACAACCAAGTACCAAAAAGTATTACACTTATGAACAGCATAACGTCATAATGCTCATATAAAAAGTAAGAAAACTGCGCAAAGAATTTATTCAACCAATGAATAAATCCAATGGTTAATCGAACACCAGTCTCGTGTAACGAATAATGCAACAGTATAAGCCTGTGTGTGTGCGTTCCTCGAAAATACAGTTTTATGAAATTAAATCGCGCTTACGCTGGCGAATCATGCATCAAGTTTTGTTCTTGTTAAGAATACGTTGGAAAATGTCTCTTGTTCAGAATTGATATTCTTGAACAATAAGTATATAAGTTTTTAGCAAATTAACCGATACTTTTGAATATATTGACATCAACACTAAGTATTGTTCTTGACGTCATAAAATATTGAAAATTCTAGCTAGAACATTCTAGTATGATATTGCGACACAGCCGTTTGCGAAGTGAATAATCACCCATGTGATATGACGAATTATTCTGTTTTACATGGATATCTGTCATGAGGAGCTCGAATATTCGAGCAAAGATCAAATCATGTTCCGTGAAAACGAATGATCTTAAAAGATAATAAAGAAAGAGACGATTTTGAACGAGTGATATGAAAAAAGTGTGTACCCTTTTTAATGCGACCTTGAGAACAATTGTTCAATTATGCTAGAATTTCAACTGTCAAAAATAATAACTTAAAATCGTGAGTTGGTTTATTTGTCTAAAATTTATTGGAATATAATATTAAAGGAAATAAAATCTTATAGAGGCATTCTCTGGATCTTTTGCTGTTATATATCAAATTATAGGAGTTCTCAAATGGAACACGCTAACTTTTTAACCCTTCTGTTTTGGAGTCAAATTAAATCTAGTTTCAATTAGTAGTTACAACTTAAGACGTTTCACACCGGATTTTGTCATTGTTTTAAATATTTAGAAGAATGTGACAATGTTTAGAGTTGACATCCTGAACATTCATTTATCGTACACGTTCCCGACACAACAAACAACCCGCTGCTTTAAAGCAAATAGAAAAGGCTTTGGTCTTGTTTATTTATTCGTAGTGTTCGTAGTGCTTGGAGCGTTTAAAATTAATACCGATACATCTTCAGTTGATACGAATCTGAGCTAAGTATTAATTCACTGAAAAAAATAAATGTGGCATTGCAGATATTGGGTGTGTTCGTGATTAGTGCAAAACAAATTAGAATATAAGAAAACCCTAAACGAGCTGTCACTCACTACCATGTACGATCATACTACGTAGGCCTTAGTAATAAATTATTTTTTAATTTCAAATGCTGTTTTTATCGTTTTACCAATGAATCTGAGCTGTTTCAGATTGCGACATGTTTTCATGGTCTGTGCAATAGCCTTGGATATTCGATGCGACTTTTAATATATGGCGTAACTATGGCTATGGTTTCAATCTGAATTTGATGAAAGAAGATGAAGAAATATATATTCTAACCCGTTGAATTGCGTGTAATAAAAATCAAACTTATCAAATAGGGTATACCGATATGGCTTCTACCGAAGAAGTTATTTAAGGTACTATTGGGATCCATTATGCAAATTGGTTTAAGTAACCGCTAAAGTTATTTACTACATAAAATGAATTTTCTTTGGTTTTAAAATCATACCACAAGCAAATACTTCTGTTATAGGAGTGTCCGACAAAAGCATTAGTATCTATAGCACAAACCTATTGGAATACAGCGGGTTGAACATCCATTTGCTCCTATGCAACATATTTCCCCATCCGGACATGGGTTACCTTCATCACATTGGAAGTCTATTTGGGAAGCCAAACAAACATCAATCAGATCATCGGGATGAGGGCATCTGTCGTCGAAGCCACCTTGTTGTCCTGTGGAACAATATAATTGTGTCTCACTTATTGTCACATCACTAGACTAGATCAGGTCGAAATTCTGAGAAATGCAAACAAAACATCGAATACTCACGTTCCGTACAATCATCTCCAGTATATCCAAGTGGGCAAATACAAACATTGGGCGGCCCTGACTCTTGTTGGGCGCACATATGATTTTCCGGGCAATTCGCCGTTGTTGTGCAGGTTTTATCTAAGTATCAATAAAATGACGTGAAAGGTCACAACTAAGGCTGGGCAAAAGATTCAAATATCCGGTACCACGTGACCTGCGCCGCATTGCTTGGACACGGATCTCACGAATCTATCTTGAAATCACTTTTGAATTGCGCAAGAATTCACCCAAATGGATCGCTAACAGAAAAAGGCGACAAATTTGAGAATTCGTTGTCTTTGCATTACGGTGTTATTTGATTTCTTTTGCTCCTAACGTAACGCGACATGTTATTTGCCTTTCCCTGCATCATAAGAACATAAAATTGATTGAAATTGAAAGTCAAAATTACGTCTGAGAAAAACCATACATAGCGAAAAAGGCGATTTCAGATCGTCAGAAAATTCGAGTTATATAAATAGCATCGATTAGAAAATGATTAGTCAAAGTTTTTTCATAATCTGGCATGAGTTTCTTGTATGAAAAACACTTATTAAGTTGTAACCGGATAAGAAATGACCGCGATAGTTAGTCCCCTTTATTCTTTCTATTAGCTCTTTAGTAAACCCTTTCATCCTTGGCCTAGTAATGTTTCGAATATTTGAACATTTTACTCGGACATGTATGGTAGAGTGTTAAAATTGTAAACAAGAGTAGAATAGAACGTAAAAATCAATCGTGAACTTTGTTGTAACCACGCACACTCGTTTACAAATCATTAAGCTTATTATCATCAGAAATGATTACAGTTGTTGAATTTTAAAGCATTTTAGCAGTAAGAATTAAGGCGTGACATCATCAAAACCGTTAATTGAAGTGTTAAATTGGCCAATTCCGTAAATAAAATTGTGAATTACTCTGTAACGATTTTAGCTATATTTTTTGTTAAAAAAAAACGTTAGAACTTGAGGGAATTAGTTATATTTAGCGTCTGACTGTCTATTAGGCACAAAGCCTTATGACTACGTAGAAATGCCTTTATTGCCAATTTATTTATTCACTATTTTAAATCGAGATTAAATCATCATTCAGAATTCACGCAATCGCAGATTTGCGAGGTTTATCTATCTAATACGAAAATAACGCAGACACCACAGAAAAGCATAAAAAAATCAGTTATCGTTTTAATAAATATTTGCATGCCGGTGCGATAATGATATCACCCTTCGCTTTTAAATGGGTTAATTTACAAGCGATGATAAGTAAGATCCAATCCAACGCAAAAGATTAAAATAAGAATAAAATTAATTTTGGTTTTGAAATCAGTCCGTACGGGTAAACCAGAAAAATAGAACATCGATATCCGCCGACACGCAAGAATTAATAGAAGAGAAAGGGGGAAATTTAGATTACCAACTTTAGGATATCGCCGACGAAACAATCACAACGACAAAAGCAATCAGCGATTATGATGAAATTACCCAATAAAAAACGCTTTATTCCTGACTTTATTTTTTTTTCCAATTTTTCCAAAGGGAGTGTCGACATCCGACGTTATGGGCCCCTGTTGTGTATAAATTCGATATTCGTTAAAAATATTCGAATTATTCGATTTAAAAAAATATTCGATGTTGCCCACCCCTAATCACAACATCAATAAAACGACATATTAGGTGGCGTAATATTGAGCTCAAATATTAATACAACCAAATACCCCATCACAGCACAAGAATTAAGGTTTTGATGACAAACAAAATTACTGGAATTTAGCATTATAAAATCCCCGATGAATCAAATTGTTAAAATTTTACTAGGCCTAACTGTGTGAACAATTATTGTGTTTTTGTAGATATTTATATTTTTGCAAAACCATATGAAGGAGAGAGCGCACTGAGATAATTGGGTGAGTTGATGCAAAAATTTCCGAAATTCTTTACAGTTCACACTATAGTATCGCTTGGCAATAAGAAACTGTCACATTTACTCGAAATGTTTATAATTAGTAGCTCATAACATGAATTTTACCAGTTTTAGATTAAACTACGCTACCCCGTAATACCATTTCTAAATTTTAAAAATACGCTTCTAAATTTTTACAGACATTTACCCCAGCATTGAGTATTTTACAACACTTATAAACTTTCTGTTTAAATATTGGTTGATTTTCAATGGAAAATATATATCACAGCTAAAACTACTGTCTTCACTTTCAACTGGAACTTTGTAAAGGTGACATTAGAATTGACAATTTTAAACTGCACGCCCACTCCGAATCATCAGTATCATGCATGAAGTTTTGTTCTTATTATAAATGTCCTTTTGGGTTAGAGCTTTCAGTTTGCTACGACGAATCATTCACCAAATTTTGTCCTTGTTTTAAATGTTTAGAAAAATGTTTAGATTTGATCTTTCTGGACATTCATTTATTGTATACGTCCCCGACACAGCCCACGCCTCGCTGTTTTAAAGAAAATAGAAAAGGCTTCGGTCGTGTTATTGGACACGAAGTGGACATAACGATCGTTTCAATATTATGTTGGTCTTGTTGTGGTTGTTCTTTGACACTTTTTGGACATCCAGTGGAAAATCTAAAAAACTGCTTTTCTCTTCAATCACTGGACCAATTGCTTTGAAATTTTTAGTGGTTAAAGATGAAATTTTTCTCCGGAAGGCTATTACTTTTATTTATTTCAAATATTTCTGTTAGCTCTATGAGATTTGTTTTTGTCTGCTATGACGTCACTGAACGTTCTGCGGACGCATATGCAGGCACTCCTCTTTTTGATCACATGACATCGAACGTTGGCGTAACGGCGGATTCTGAAAGTCGTTACTCAAGAATCGCAAGTTTTTCGAGGTTACCGGTGAATGGCGGTGATGCTAAAGGTGCGGTAGACCGTACTGTACTGCTTCGCTTGGTGTGAATATATTTGTATACTGTGGTCTAAAGGTACGGTAAACCGTACCGGTACTGTACTGTTTCGCTTGGTGTGAATATATCTATAGAGTCTCTATAGTATAATAGACTGTGGTCGAAATGATTCGCTGTGGTATCTGCTGTTATAATACCGTGATAAATCGAATAGGTTGGCTTTGCAAATAAGGAGCGTCTGGCATTACAGGTAGGAGGGGGAATAGGGGGGGTGCGCATTTCCAATAGGTCGATAACATCTTTGTCAACCAATTTGCGACCACGATGCTTTTGTCTGTTCGATTGTTGTGATGTGGTGCTAACCAATCTGCGACCACCGTGTTTTTGTCTGTTTGATTGATGTGATGTGGTGCTCTGCTTATAATTTGACGAGTTTTGTTTGAAATAACCGTGTTCCTAAAATATATGACGGTCAGATATGCGATTAGAAGCCCAATGTTTTTAAAGATAGAAGAGTTCTGATACCGTAACACAGCGCGGTGAAACTGAACTAATTTGTAGTTGTAAAAAGCTTGAAAATCCATACAAATATAAGAGATAAAAAGATGAAACTTTGCAGGTGGGTAGAGTTGTGTTTCTTTTACCCATCTTTGAAAGTTTCGCGTTTTACATTCAAAGGAGGGGGAATAGGGGGGTGCGCATTTCCAATACGTCGATAATATCTTTGTCAACCAATTTGCGACCACCGTGTTGATTGCTGTGATGTGGTGCTTCGTTTATACAGGTACTGGTAAATCACCGCATATGATTTTTGGGGAATTGTTCTGCGTGACCATGTATTTGAGCATTGCTCTCTTAATTATATTTGTAGTCGTTTTAAAGTTTAAACCATTTCGTGTCGAAGGATTTTGTCTTTCATCAGATTGTCGAGTACTCTTTGTTGAGGTATTTTTATAATAATGCTTGAAGAGTTTAAAATTCAATAAAAAAAAATATAAAGGCGAGCGCGCTCTGAAACAATTGGGTGATTTGATGTAAAAATGTTCGAATTTGTTTACAGTTTTTGTTTACAGAAGTTTTCATAATTAATACCCCGTAACGCCAATTTTACCAGTTCCTAATTAAATTACAACTCTGCTAAATTAACTACGCTCTGAATTAAACTACGCTACCCCCTAATAACATTCCTGAATTTTAAAATTCGCTTCAAACTTTTTGCATGCATTTACCCCACCATTGAATATTTTACAAAACTTTAATTTTTGTTTTTAAATATTGATTGATTTTCAATGGAAAATATATATGAAAGCAAAAATTACAGTCCAAAATTACAGTACACTTCCAAATTGAACTTTGTAAAGGTGACAATAGAATTGACATTTTTAAAAATGTACGCCCAGTGCGAAATCATGCGATCATCAGTGACCAGGCAATAGTAAAATGAGTGATTCCGCAAATAATATTTCTTTTGTGCTCGTGATGGACCTAATTATCTATTCCTACTGTCGAGGACGCATTCCACTTTTCTTCCGGCTAATCAGTGTTCGATCAAGTGTGTTCAATCAAATTTTTTATTGTACTAAAATAAATTGCATTCTTTGGGATTTCAACACAGATCTTGGGATATCTCTAACAGCCATAACGGGTAGTTTATCGCTAACGTGTTATTTTATAGTAGTAGTATTCTATATTGTCTTCGAAACAACCCCAAGTTACGTTAAAACTATTGAACAACATAGCGCGATATTTTTATGCTAGTATGTATTCAATATCTTGCGCAACAGAAAGCTGACGAGTAGCGTGATCGCAGCGACTGTTTCAGAAACCGTTGTATAGAAAATTTCGACTTTACAACCTTCCTTCTGAAGATTTTGGCCGCGCAGCGGTTTTCAAGATATGAGGGCGAATGTTTAAATTTAAATGAAAAATATGAATTATAATAATTGCAAAGATAAACTGCTGCTGAAGCGATATTCACCAGAGTATTTTAATAAATATTCGGATGTTCAGAACTCAAAAATAAACGCTTACTTAAAACGTTTATTTTCAAAGTTTTGTCTTTTTAAATTAAAGCTCTCGGTTCATACACCATATTTTGTTTTGAATATTTAGAAGAATGTCACAATGTTTAAACTTGACATTCCTGAGGATTAACTAACTGGAACAGCTAAGGTATCGTGCACGTTCTCGACACTCCCACAAGGCCACAACCAGTTGTTATTAAAGAAAATGGAAGAAGCCTCGGTCGTGTTTAATTATATACATTATGACATTTTGTGTCAAATGATTTTCTCTTTCATCAGATTATCGTGTGAGTACTGCTTGTTACCGTATATTTATTGTAATGCTTGGGGTGTTTATAATTGATTCCGATAAAATCGGATCCCAGACATCGTTAGTTGTTACGAAACTGAGCCAATTATTAATCCGTTGCAAAAAATAAATGTGGCATTGCAGATATTTAACCTCTGTTTTTGATTTTTGCAAAACTTTTTTTGCCTTCAAATAGCTCGCAAGTATAAAAATAACTCACAAAACGGAATTAATAAATATATTTGTGTCCTTTTGATTCCGTGATTAATGGGGGTAAAATGGAAACGGGATTTTCCGGCATGGGTCTCTTAAACGGTTGCCGCGATTAGGCCACTAGCTAAATGAGACAAATTTTTTGCAGAAAATGACTTTTTTTTGCGCAAAATATTCAATCTATAACCGATATGGACATTTGAGATGTCATGTTACAATATTTTAAGTGTGTTAAGTGTAACTCGAGATTGTGTCAACTCTTGACCAAGCAAAAGGGAGCTCCAGAAGTATGTGTACCAATATGGCGCACAACCTGAACATAGTATGTATGTATCGGTTAGAGTTCAGGTTATGCGACATCTTGGTGCACATACTTCTGGAGCGGGTCTGAGTCAGCGCCAACAAAAGCAGTACTACAGTCTAAAATACCGTAGCAATATGCGGGCATAAAATGCGTGGGGAACTGCCTGATCATATATAGTTTTGATTTTTGTATTTGCTCCGCTCCTTCGCAGTGCTGCCACGTCATAATATTTTTAACATATTACCGTTTAAAAAATCCCAAGATCCGCGATAAAATATTGATATTTTAATTAGCTTATATATCATCATAATTCGAAAAAATATTCTATTTCAGCCCGGTGGTATTTTAAGAATATGTACATCGCCTGCGCAATTCCCAGTGTTTCCAGTTAAGTGACTATGCCACAGTTTTCAAAGACAATCAAACATGTGTGCCGTAGCAATAGCACACGAAATTTTGGCGATTTACGGAGTCTAAAATAGCGTTTTTTTTTTAAATGGCGTAGGGCTTCTAGAACAAAATGTGGAGTTTTTTTTTCAATTAATTTTCACTACACCGTTTTCAGCCTTAGTATTAGTCTTTATTTGCAGTCGGAAATTGAGTTGCGGATTCAATCCTTTTTTCATCTTTAATTAACATCTCCTTTCTGATAAATAACATGTCACACCAATGAAAACAATCGGCGAACTTAACAAACCTAGTCCCGTGAAATTCACACGCGCTATCAGCAAATATTTCGGTCTTTCGAAAATTACGAGTCGCATACGACAGTTGATGATAGGAGAGCAACATAATTAAGCTTATTTGTAGGACTTTTTCAAATGAAAAAAAAAAAAAATTCGAGGCTCGCGTCCGAGTAAGCAAGTGTGCTACCACGCCATACTGGTCTCCTCAAATCTCTATTTGTAATCCTGCAATGCATAAAATATATGAGGGGGAATGTCCTTTTAAATTAAAGCTCTCGGTTTGCAATGACGAGTCATACACCAAATTTTGTTCCTGTTTTAAATATTTATTTTGAAAATCTTGGCTGCGCACCTTGTTTCAATACATAAGGGCGAATGTTTAAATTTTTCAAAAATATTAATTTTAAAAATTACAAAGAAAGAACTGCTTTGAGCTGGTTTTCTGATCAAAGTTTGAAGCTAGATTCACAAGATTATTTCAATAAAATTCAGATGTTCAAAAGCCAAAGATATATGTTTTTCCCAAAACGATTATTTGACACGTTTGTCCTTTTGAATTAAAGCTCTCGGTTTGCAATGAAAAGTCATACACCAAATTTTGTTCTTGTCTCAAATATTTAGAAGAATGTCACATTGTTTAGACTTAACATTCCTGAGCCTTCATTTACGTTCCCGACAAAACCCACGACCCGCTGTTCTAATAAAGAAAATAGAAAAATCTTCGATCGTGTTTATTATATTCGTAGCCGTTTTATACCATTTTGTGTCAAATATTTTTACTTTAATCAGATTATCGTGTTAGCACTGCTTGTTACCAGATATATATTGTAATAATGCTTGAAGTGTTTATGTATGTAAGCTGTCACAGTAGACCAGCGTTACCGGTACGGCAGTCTTCACGAACAACACGAAAGCGGGGTCAAAACGTACCGCAAACTTCACGACTAACACAAACGCCAAAAGGTGCGCAATTTTTGATGACGTCATCGCACAAGAAAAAAGAATCCCAAAAAGCCCTCAAAAATTTTTGAGTAAAAGTAATAAAGAAAAAAACAACAATACAAAATTCATGGCATTTAATTAATTGGTCGAGTAATTAACAAGAAAAGTGATTTCTTTTATAAGGATAGAAAGAAAATTTCTAACAACAACAACATAATAAAAAAATTAACTATAGGTCCATTTCGTCTCCAATAAAGTTTGAATGAGCCTCAAAATTACTGTCATAACAAAATCATCAGATCAAACATTCGCCATTTTAAGATTAATTACAGTTCACCGTAAAAAGCATTTTCAGAAAATTTAATCATCATTCAGTCGATACATTTATATAAGTCCTTCTTAGGTGTGAATGTGTGACACACCCAATAAAAAATCGAGAACATATAATCATGAATAAATTTGTCAGTGGATCGCAGGTGAACCGCGGACATTTTAAATGCTTGTATCATCATGGATTGAATATTTAAAGCGACAGAAATCCCATGCATTATCTGCTGGAAAGGTCGGCTCTCATAACGAACGCCGAAAGTGGATTCACAAAAGCAATTCTTACCGGGAGGATCTACACAGCCTATCCCACATCCTGTTGAACAGCATATAGTCCCATCGGGACAACCATCAAAGCAGCGGTTGAAATCAGTTTCCTCCTTAGTAAAACAAGTATCGTCTAATTGCGTTGGTATTTGGCATCGATCGTCGATGAAATTAGTGTTAGCTGAAAGTCGTATATGAATGGAATAAAGAATTCAGATTTTTTCAATAGTGAATTTTATTTCGAGCTCGTACTATTATTAAAAATAGAATTGCAATTTTACTGAATCATTATATACGATACGATAATCATTATATTTCTCTATGAGATCTGTATCATCGCTTCGTTATTGAATGCAGAGCTTAACACTAAATAGAAAAATCAAAACATACTTATTCCGGTATCAAGATGGCGGAAACCGAAACGTAGTATGCGTACCAGGATAGACTTACGCCATAATATTAGTTACAAATACCACGGGAGTCACTTGGCTAGTCCCCGAACTTGTGATAAAACTAAAATTAAGAAAATTGGAACAAAATCATGGCCTAACCTGGTTTATATACTACGTTCCGGTGTCCACCATCTTGGTTTACATACTTCGGGAGCGCCCTTATTTCAATATACCGTGAGTGAGTATTTTATGTTATATGACCCATGTCTATGCATAGATAGAGTATCTGATATCATATTATTCATTTCCACTTACGTTCTGTGCAGCCGTCTCCTGTAAATCCAGCTGGACACCAGCATTGGTTATTATCCGTTTCAAAGCAAAATTCATTCGTTTGTGTGCAATCACCAGACTCAGTGCAGGTCTCTCCTAAAAAAAAATACGATCGTTTCATTCTGCCATACTATAGAGGTAATTGTCTTGTATGAGGATGGCCAGTTAGTACATTTCTCCTGGTGTGATTAGATGGGAGAGAATTACTGGACTTCCCTGCCATTGTTGCACTTGAGATATAGTATTGCGAAGAATTCTTCGCTACGTGTGAGTGACAATGCACTGCGCCACCGTTTTGCTATGTCTTGAAGGTTGAGAAATCCGATTCAGTTTAAAATTCAAGTTACTTTAAGTACGCGCCTAATTCATATACATACATTAAGATAAATCAGTGCATATTGGTATTAATCAGTCATGTCTGCGAGAATCAGCAAAATCTTACTGTCCAATGCACGACAGCCAAAACTCTGGGTCCCAAAGAATCACATTGGCTCGCCTCGCGTATAATATATCGAAGTAAAATGGCGTTTGAAATACAATGGAGAAAGTAGGCGTGAAAGAAATGAACACAGCGATAAATCCAAACAAAAAATAATGTCTTGTCTGTGAAAGTATAATTCATATAATTCTACAAGAAATACCGGAAATGGCCAAAAACTCTACCAGAAGTCAAACGGAATAAACAAATCGGAATATGAACTAAGATGGCAAATTTTGATTCATAATCTAGTAATAGGCAAGCAATTTGTACCAAAAAGATGTTTTGAGTATAAACAATTTTAACATTTTTTCAAATAGATAACATAAATATGAACAACATGTCACCAGAGAGGGAATTAAATACTTACATTAGTAAAAAAGCGACATAAATTAAACTATAATTACGAGAAAACATATAAAATCAAAAACAACTCGGCGTAATCTGAAAGATTTCAAGATATTATTATGGCCTTACTTGGGGCTCAGAAAAGAATATGTTTTTGTTCACCCATGTATATACTTTTAGCCATCGTTTGTTGATAGCGCGAAACCTCACTATAAGATTGTATTGAATTTAGTTCACTTAATATTTTGATACGAACTTCTTAGGCCAATCAATACTGATACTGTACCTAGGTGTCAATAGTTTACCAGGCTACTGTTGGAATGGACTGGGTTGAAAAAACGCCTATCTAACGGGAATTCTACAGAAAACTTTTATCATAAACTTTGTTCACAAAACGTAATCCCTGTATATTACTGTTACACCGGTAAAACCACTTACTAATAGAATAAAAATGCTAACTAACGAAGTAGCTTGTTAATATACCCACCAACCTGAACCATCCAATAACCCATCGAATAATGATGCATGGATAGCAACAGCAAACGAGAATAAGATTGCAATGCAGAAATATTTATCCATCTTGGCAGAGTTTGTCCAAGCTGCACTCATCTCACTGACATTAGAAAAAGCTTGGACGCTAATTTAAATCGAATTATGGAGATTAAACTTGCCCTCGGGGCAATGCGATGAAAAATAAATTGTGTTTTAAAAGCTTCACAATTGTTGACGAAGGCTACTTTGTCAAAACAGTCGATTAGTTTGTGCAAAGTTTGCTTGCATGGAGTAATTATTGTAATAACTTATCTATCCCGGGCTGATACAACTAACCACATTAGAAAACGCTGAGATCCAGAAGTTTGTTTTTAAAAATATTTATCAAAATCTAAGAACAAATCTAATGAATAATATAATTCTGACAAACATTAGTCATCTAAGATCCATCCCACACCGGGAAATAAAGTGAAAAAAACCAACAACATTAGGCGTAATGGAAAAAGTGGTCACCAGACAATAGATTTGCATGTTCCGTAAATTTGTTCGAATATCTTCTTCTTTTCCGGGCAGTGTAACAAAGCTCAGATCCCTTTTTTTATTTCGTTAATTCAAATAGGATAATTTTCTTCGAAATTTTTTTAGACTTAAAGCCAGATTTATTTGTTTTAACTCAGTTGCAAGCGTGTTTTTATACCTTTTTCTTTTATACCGTCGGCCTATTTCTCGGGTTCATCGAATCCCAGTAATACCAGATTCGTCTCATTCCAACCAATTTGCCCACACATTTAGAGGACTCGGACGATATCCGTGTCATTTGATTATTAAATTTTTTTCTGGCGCATTGGTGCCCTCAATATTTATGATCATTCATATAAAGTTAAAACACTAAACTGTCAAAATTATGTGATTGATCACATTATATATTTACAAACATATTTCAACATCATATGCTGTTATTAAAAAACAATTTTATTACCTTCGTCGCTCGCGATCACGCCGACGGATATTCCCGACCAGTTTTTAATATTATATTTACGTACTAACAGAATATGGTTCTCACCAAGGCTCGGTCGAAATGAGTAAGCGCTGGCGCTGAAGCAACACAAATTAAAAATAGGGTTCAACCAAGGGTACAGCCCAAACTATCTGCAGAAACTTCGCAGTTTGGTATCTGAGATTTTTTTTTGTCGCTTCAGATTGTAACGTAACGGCGACGAACGGTGTAAAGACATGCTACGCTGTTAATTTACGAAAGTCGGTGGGAAAAAGTGCCAGGTTACAAAAAAGACAAAAATAGCTATATGTACCACGGTCAGAAACAAGTTTGGATCTGTAGCAATTTTAAAATATAAACAAAAATTTGTATTTTTACAAGAATACATCATAAGAAATACTTCTCAAACATAACAACTTTACAAAGGCTTATATCGAAGGTGAGAAGTAAATCAGCAACTCAAATTTGCGAATGGCAAAATAAAATTGAAAAAAAAAAAAAAACACTGAAAATAAAAGCAAAATAAAAAAAATAGGGGTGAGAAAACATGAAAAAAAAATTAAAAACAAAAAATAAAAATGAAAAAAAAAATTAATATAAAAACGAAATAAAAAATGTAGAAAAAAAAATTGAAAAAAAAAAAAAACTCGGATAAAAAGAAAATAAAAAGATTGACAACGATGGCCCGCCTTTTTATTTTCTTTTTATTCAAATTTTTTTTTTACTTTTTTTTTTAATTTTTTTTTATTTCATTTTTATTTTTTTTTCGTTTTTATTTTGAATTTTTTATTTTACATTTTTTTTTTCATTCTTGTTTTATTTTTTATGTTTTTTCACCACTATTTTTTTTATTTTACTTTTATTTTCAGTTTTTTATTTTATTTTTAAATTTTTTTTTCAATTTTACGCGTGTCAACGATGTGCCACCATAGTGGTGTCAATACTAAGAAGAAAACGAAATACACTTTGAATTTTGTGTCGAGGAAAACTAAGACAGATAAACGCTATTTCAGATACCGTGAATCTCCAAAATTCCGTGAGCTCATGATTTATGACAGACGTTATAATAAAGGGCATTTCAATCGAATATTGAAATATTCGAATCGGTTCTTTTTTTCTCGTAAGTCGACTCAACCGTGATTTATGCTGAAAATAATTTAATATGGAAAGACGTTTTAAACGCTCGTATTGTTCATGGATTGAATATTTTGCACAACAGAGAAATCGTTATTCCCGAAAAATTCGACATTTTCAAAGAGTGGCGTAATTGCGGCAACAGAGTTTTCATGTACAGCGAAGGGTAATGAAAATTTTCAAAAATGCGAAAGCACAAAATTAGAAATGTATTGTAAAAGGTTGGGTACCACTGCACTACAGAATTCTAGTACTGGGCAATTAAATATGACAAGCGTACTCCTAACGTTTACTACGTTGCGCTAACAAAGAAATCGCGATTCGAATACCTAATTCCTGGATAAAGATCAAAAAACGTGAGAAACGAATGACTCAATATCAGTCTTTTTTGTCGTTCATGCATCGCAGTCCGGCAGAATCGTGGCCGAAGCTCGTTTTGAGACATAAAGTTTTTTTTTATTGTTTAGATATAATGTCGTTGACATAAATAACAAGCCGGTAGGCGTCCAGGATCTCCGCTGATACCCAGGCCCGCGGCATACAGTATATCGCGAGGATCCAATTCATTTTAGACTCTGTAGCACTTCAGTGGTCGGCCTAACTTCGTTCAGATTTAAATCTCTTTAATTTGTGTGAGCTTGGACGTGAATTCCTGAAAATTTCCTCGTAAGAAATAGGCGAGAAAAACTCTTGATTACATTGAGTGTCTCGATCAGAATGAATTTCAGTCGGTTCCGTTACAAACAGAACATTGACATTAACCAGTAATGCCAACCGGTTCGCTGATCTCATAAAATTCTGTGAGACGGTTTTATAGAACCGGTGCGAACCGGCTGAATCCCACCACTGCTCCTATCCAATTCTGATGTGCGATCTCAACTGGCAATTCTCCGTAAAAGTTTTGATGTTTTGACGGGCAACTTCTTGAAGTTACTGAATAATGTCGGATTACACCCCAGCAATCTTTCACCATCCAAGAAAAATTGCTGACCTTTAACGACAGCGTGCCGCAGTGTCCTCTAACGACATGCAATAACCAGTTACCAGTCCAGCACTCAAGCAACCGGTTACCATGCGATTAAGAAAAAGAGCTGGTTACCAAAAATGCTAGTTCATTTTGAACTCTGCGCGTTCCGTTGGGTTCATTTCAAACGCTGGGCGTTCTGTTGACGTACTCGCGTGACTGATATACTGTGACTGAAAATAAGGAAAATAATGTTAACTAAAATCCCTAAGGCTTCTCCAGTTTATGGAGTATCGAGACCAAAGACGACTTATTGGAAAGAGTACTTCGTCATGCGGAAGGGAGCGCTCTTGGAATTTTAATTTTCGACTTGGTTGGCAAGAAAATGGCGATGAATTGTGATAAAAATAGATATTTCATAACGATCGGCGCGTGTTTCGTTATTACCATGGAAACGAAACATTTATCTGGACTTCCTATAAAACGCATAATACTAGGGTGACAGGATAACCCACGTGAAAAATTTCATTCAGATTGGTCCAGCCAAGACGCTACATCTAAACAGACAGACAGACAGATACACAGACAGACAGACAGAACGACTAATAATAAGGGTCTCCTATAAAGCGGAGATCCAATGCTTCCCAGGTGGGTATGGAGTATATTATGTTGAGCAATCTTTTCTGAGTGGATATTAAGACGCTCCTGAAGTATTCTTACCAAGATGACGCACATCCTGAACCTTAACCTGCGGGAGGCAGAAATGCCAAGATGGGATTTCATCGCATTGCAAACCAATATTAGCGATTCTTGGATATATTAGCGCATTTCCATCTGAACTGCGTGGAAGAGATTATACCTATCTACTTTGCAGCCAAACACTTGAAAAACAATGTCAGATAAGCGTCATATTATCGAATATCAGTAAAAGAATCCACTTGTATCTAACCATGTGTAACGTGTTTTCTTTTGGAAAAACCGGCCCTTTCAGGTTCAGCATTGACTTTGGCCAAATTAATACATCCTTGTGGAGATAGAGAGTATGCGTATGCGAAACCGAAATGTGTGCACCTGCTATGCCAAAATAGGTAAATCAAACATTTTGATCACTAGTACATCACACATATTTTCTTGAGTTCTTCAGTTGCACGTGGTAACGCGCACATTCATCAAATTCCACTTGTTCATTGACCTATAGGATTTTGACGAGCTTTTTTGTATGATTTCATCCCATAGAATTTATATGCTGTTCTAAAGAATACTAGTTTTCATTCATTCAAACCGCGTGTTCGAAGTAAGGTTTGTAATATTGCGTGTTGGTTTTTAACTGGTTTATTGATATACATCATTTGACATCCAATCGGTGATGCCAGTAAATCTTTAATAAAAAAAAATCAGTATCATCTGCAATGAAAACAGCAGTACCCACTCAAATGGCAGCTGGGGGATGGATACTCATATTATCTGCTCCCTCCCGTGGCGTTTCAATATGAAACCTGCCTCTTACCAGTTTACATGAGTGCCAATCGCCATCGATAATATGACGCTTATCTGACATTGTTTTTCAAGTGTTTGGCTGCAAAGTAGATAGGTATAATCTCTTCCACGCAGTTCAGATGGGAATGCGCGAATATATACAAGAATCGCTAATGTTGGTTTGCAATGCGATGAAATCCCATGTTGGCATTTCTGCCTCTCGCAATTGCTGCGTATATTTATCGGAGAAGTTCTGTGGCGTGGTTATCAAATGAAGAAAACTTGGAAATATTTTTTTCTACTTCTCTCAAACCTTGACATTTTGTGAAGTTTTTTTTCCCATTCAACCTTGTTTTGAAACATCCCCAACAACCACAATTAATTCTGTCATTAAACTTCCGAAAGAAACACATAAAATCATCAACAGATGCATATCACCAAGTCCTAGGTAGATATTGCTGAATTGAGGGACAGCATGACAACAGGCAAGAGAAGCGCGGTCTACTCTTTTAGTTTATGACAGGGTTTCTCAAAAGGGGACCCCGGCCTCCTTGGAGGCCACGGATCG